ATTGGGTTCAACCCAGGTGGGTGGCTTTTTCTTTTTTTTTTTTGCAGAAGTTCAAATTGAGTACTGGCTTCTCTCACACAGAAACCACAAGTCTCAGTTTCTCCTAAGTTGAGGCAAAATGATTCTCCCCATCTTATCAGTGTTTTTCTGACAAACTTAGTATTTCGTGATCTTTCTGTTTCATAAACTTGACCATGCTAGTTATCATGAACCCACTGAATTGGCCAAAGCCTACCGGTATTACCTGTATGTGTCACGACGTAATTTCTGCCAAGAGGCTACTGTGTTCAGGGATATCTTGAACAGATGAATGCAACCTTTTATTTGTAACAGGTGCTCCTCTCTGTTACTAGTGGAAACAGTTTTAAGACCCATGTGAGTTTCCATGCTTGGCCCAGATTCATCCCAACAGTGTCATCCACTGGTGAGCCCCAAATGCCTGATCCTAGAATCTTTCCCAAGTCAGTGGGAATAATATGATTAGGGTGCCTGCTCTAAAATACCTCCTGCAGGAACCTTCCAAAATCTCTCTGGAGAAGGCATTTGGAGAAATTGTAAGACACTAGCGTGGGAGAGCTCCTTAACCCGAGACCAGACGTGACAACCTCAGTTCAGATCCTGGTTTTGCCACTTATAACTGTGTGACTTTGGACACGTTACTTAACCTCTCTGTGCCTCAGTTTCTTCATGGACTAGTTATTCACTGTCCTTTTGCCCCATACTGAGCCCCATGGCGACTGACACTTCAAGTCTATATCACCGAGACTCCCTTGATGTCAGGCTTCTAGTTGTTTCAGTCAAAGGGAAATTGGAAGGTGGGAGGGGGTATTAGAGTATTTGTTCCTCCAATAGCTCACTAACCCCCGAGCTGTTCTCTTCACCTGCCACCCCCACCTCCACACCCTGGGTCTCTGGCCACATCCTTCCATGACTGCAGATGGTTTCTTAGAGCAGCTTTTCCGAGAATAGCTCTTCAGGCTCTGGTTACACCATTTCCTTGCTTGTCCTTTCAGCCTGTGAGTGGGAACAGCTTCCAACTGCAGCTAGTTTGCTGGGTGCCTCAATATCCCTGATTGATTCCCTTAAATCTGCCTACACATCTGCAAATAGTTTCTTCTTTAACTTCTCTTCAGAATTCCATCTGTGCATGCCTCCTCTTTCTTGCTGGAGCCTTGACTAACACATCTTATAGGACTGTTCTAAGGATTAAATAAATTACTACATATAAAGGACTTAGAACAGCACAGGGAGCAGATTCAAGGCTATATATCAGCTGTTGTTACCACTAAGGCCACCTTGTCTTCCTTTCTTGTCAGTCCTGGGAGACACACCACTCAGGTTGCCAAACAGGTGGGAGTCCTTGCTCTAGAAAGCCTCAGGCATCTGGAGGTCCTTCACCAACTTCCCTCCAAGAAGACATTAGCACGGGCCTGGGTGGTAAAGCTAGAACGAAACTGGCTCAGGTACAGATGGGAAAATCAACAGGCAGGGGCAGGGGAGGAGCCCGAGGAGCATCAGAGGGTCTGAACACGTAAACTCAGTAATTCTGGCAAGACCTGGGCTCCAGCAATTGAAAGAAGAGTCTTTGTTTGAGAGGCTACTTCGAGGGTAGGGGCAGAGAGCAGAGGAGGATCAAATGTCTAAGACAAACTTCATGTACCGCATAATTTGGCCAAGGGCCAACTGTTTTCCAAGTTTCTGAAGACCAGGTGGAGTTAAGTGTTTGGGACTAACAGGATCTTATCTAAAAGCATGCCAGCTGGCAGAGATCATGCTCACATATTTATACCGGTGAAATCTAGTTCAGGCAGGAACTGAGACCATTCTTTATTAACAGGACTACCTAGAGGATTAAGAAGCTGTTTACGGCAGGGGATGACATACAGGCATTCAGGACAGCCTGACAAGATTCAAAATGAGCTCTGCCGCATTCTAATTGTACAGCACCGGGCAAAGTCACTCAGGCTCGCTAAGCTGCAAATTTTTAGTCTGTAAAACTGTTAGTAACAGATCCTACCCTGAACGTCGTTAGGAGAACTAAATCAGGAAATTTCGATGCAGTGTTTTACATAGCACCTGACACATATTCAGTGCTCAAAAATGTTTGCCCTGGGGCGCCTGGGTGGCTCAGTCGTTAAGCGTCTGCCTTCGGCTCGGGTCATTGTCCCAGGGTCCTGGGATCGAGCCCCACATCGGGCTTCCTGCTCCGCGGGAAGTCTGCTTCTCCCTCTCCCACTCCCGCTGCTTGTGTTCCCTCTCTCGCTATATCTCTCTCTGTCAAATAAATAAAATCTTAAAAAAAAAAAAAATTTGCCCTTCTAACTGTCATCGTCCGGGTGATCCCCATCATGGTTCTTAGCGGGCAGCTGGTAAAAATCTTGCAGGCACAAGTTCATGAAAGAGTAACCGAGCTTATAAGGTATCATAAAAGATATGGAATTATACTATAAGATGGTATTAAATCAACCAGTTTACTTTCTCTCCTTTTGTCACAATAACAGATGCACAAAATCCAGACCCAGGAAAATTGCACTTGTTAGCTAAACCTCCTGATGTATCTGCTCCTTAGAATAGTGATTTAAAAGTCAGGTTCTAGAATCAGACCAATCTGAGTTCAAATCCCAGCTCTGGGATTAAGAGCTGTTGAGACCTTAAGAGCTTAAGAGCTGTTTGACCTTTGGGTAACTTACTTTACCTCATTAAGCTTCAATTTTCTCATCTATAAAATGGAAGAAGTGATAGTTCCTACCTCCTAGAATAGTTATGAATATTGAGATGATGCATGCAAACCTCTCATTAGTTTACTTCCAACAGAAGAAAGTTGTGAGAGTTCAAATGGTAAGTAAAGCAGAAGACATCCCTAAGAACATTTGGGAGATCTTACAATAAAAAAATTATGCCATATTGGGGATTGACTAGAAAGAGTCATGAAGGTGATTTTTGGGCGTGATGAAAATGTTAAATTCTTGTCTTGGGTGGTAGTTGAATGGGTGTATAGAATTGCCAAATTCATTGAATTGAATACTTAAGATTTGTTCATTTTATTGTATGAAAATTATACTTCAATAAAACAAAAAGAATAGTTATGAATTCTGCTCTGCACCTAAGATTTTATCCCATCCAACTCTTTATGTGAAGCTGGGAAAATATCACTGACAACATCCATTTAGAGAAGAGGTGAGGGGGATGCTGTTGCCCACATTGTGCACAATCAAAGGCTCTCTGTCATCACAAGTACTACTACTGCTCAAAGTTCATTTACTAGAAACGAGTACAGCAATAGAAGACCCTTGAGTATTGTTCATTAGATCCATCAGAGTATGAATCCATGAGAGTATGAGAGGCTTACCTGCACTGATCTTATTTAGGGCTTATATCTATTAATCTATTACTAACTAGATAAATGGCTAGGGCAGAGTCACACCTGTTACCCAACAGGTGTTTGTACATTTTGCAAAAGGTTTATTAACAGTGGCTGTAGTCTTGCTATTACAGGAGTGAGGCATGCATACCCGATGAAAGAAAGTATGAACGCATGGATGAATGAATGAACAAACAAGTATTTATTAAGTGACTATCATGCATCATCTTGATTATCTAATGTAATTTAAAAAAATTTTTTAGAGGTTTATTTGAGTGTGCATGCACACACACACACAAGCAGGGGCGGGTGGTGGGGGGGGAGGAAAGGGAGAGAGAAACTCTAGCATATTCCCTGCTGAGTGTGGAGCCAAGGTCCACCCCTCCACCCCCCAAACCTTGATCCCATGACCCTGAGATCATGACCCAAGCCAAAACCAAGAGTCTCAAGAGTCCGACGCCCAACCGACTCAGCCACCCAGGCACCCCTAAGGTAATTTAAATCTTATTAAAAACTTGTTAAATGGAGTTATTATTCCCACTTTACAAATGAGAAAAGCCAGGCTTAGAAGGCGAAGTGATTAGCCTAGGTGGGGTTCCACAGTCAGATCATAGCAGAGATGAAAACCATATAAGCTGATTATATCCTAAATAATTTCCATTTGTTACAGTAATATTTTTTCTTAGGAGCTCCTATGTATTTTATTAGATCTTGTATGCATCATTTAGCATGCATCAAAATATTTAGTCTTTCTTTCAGATGCCATTCCAGCTACCTCTCTTTAGGGAATTGATCAGTAGAAAGCTATGAGGTAGGATACACTTACGAAGTATTAGTCAATGTTTTCCCCTAAAATTTTCTACTACTTCTTCATTCTTACCCTCCTTCAAACAGCAGATATGTTATTCTGAGTTCTGTTACCCCCAGGTAGACTAGGTTAACAGAAAGCAGAGGAAAAAAATGAACTTCTTTTTGCATTTAAGTCTTCAAAGTTCAGGCCCCAAGGGGAATGGGAAATAAGGAAGGCATACATAAGATGTAGAAGTTTACTTGGTAATTTAGAGAACGAGTTTCCACCCAAGACTACACAAAGATTTCCCAGGTGTGGGGGAAGGAGATGTGTTAGAAAGAAGTCAGAACATAGATGCTAATGTAGCCTCTGAGCAGGGTCTGTCCCTTCTTCTTCTCCCCATTCAAGAGTCAGATAGGAAGAGGGGATTACCGAAGCTCCAGATGGGTTTGTGGATTCTCAGATCAAAGGGAAAGAGCAAGAACGGCCTCAAAGAGAAATGACTCTGGGGTGTGGCCAACAGATAGATATGAGGGAGTAGTCCCTGTGGGAGCCACAGTGGCGGGAGGTATTATGTTTCCGGGTTGGCTGTCACAGTGGATTCCAGCATGGACTGATAACGACCAGAGACCAGACTCAAACCCTACATCCCCCATGCCCTGCTTCTTGTCACTTGGAACATGCTTCCGAAATTAGAGGCAACTCTGGGAAGCGTGGGAGGAAATCACCAATTTAGCCCAATTTAGCAGAGATCAATTTTTGCTGCATTGGAGGAATGAGGGCTCAAAACAGAAATTAGGTTATAAAAAGATAAACGTAGATTTCTTGTACAGTGAAGTTTGTGGACTGGCATTTTGCTACAGTTGTGTTATAGATGTGATAGAGTCATACCTCAGATCGGATGGAGAAGGGAATAGTACTTGGAGCTTGCAAATAGAAATCTAGGGGGAAAAAGAAATTCCTTTAAGACAAATGTTCCTTTCAACTTGGCCCGTGTTTTATGTTATCATGTTTACTGAGGTCATCCTATTTGTATAGTGTCAAGTTTATTTTTCCTTGAAACATTCTGGACCTTATTCTTCATAAGTTATGTGACCTTCTGCTCACACCCTTTGGAGTCTCTGATCACACTAAGCTTTTGTCCTGGAACTTGTTTATTTTGAAGCAGAAGTTTTTAAGGTGAGAGTCCCTTATTGGTTGAATTCTTTGCAAAAATCCTCCTGTCCAACATGAACTAGAATATTCTTTTCAGTGTGCTACACTCCGTGGAAGAGATTTGCACTTACTTATGCAACCTCTAGTTTCCCATACATCACCTGTCCAGGGATAACTTTGGGCATAGATATGATTTACTTTAAAAAAAAAAAAGCAATAAAAACCTCAGTCTAATCAAGCTATTTAACCCACCGCCCCAGGGATGACCATCCAGATAAGGCAAAAACAAATTGGGGGAGGGGAGGTGACCACCAAGATGATTTCCTTGAAAAAAAAAATTGTTATTTGAACCTCTGGAGACTCAATAGCTCAACCCGACAGCTGGATGGGTGGGAGGCAAAGGGGTAATGGAGGTAAAGAAACCTGTTACAAGGCAAGTTCAATGGTCTAGGAAATAAGTAATGGTGTTTTGGACTAAGATGGTAATGTTGAGACATACTTGATTTAAGAATATACTATATTTGGAAAGTAAGAACCAATAGGACTTGGATATAGGATATGAGATGCAGAAAAAGGTAAGGTTTGATTCCTGTGCAAGCCTGGATACATACCTGGAATTTCCCGTGGCTGGACAAAATATTCCTGAGGGTAAGTTTAAAAACTGGAACTGACCAACTAGAAACCAAACAGGAAAAAAAAAAAAAAAAAGGAATTGTGAATGAATATCTTTTTAACTTAGTGAAAATTGAACCTGTCATGGAATCAACAACAATAAAAACCTTGGGGTGCCTGGCTGGCTCAGTGGGTAGAACATGCAACTCTTGATCTCAGGATCACAGGTTCAAGCCCCACTTTGGGCATAGATATGATTTACTTAAAAAAAAAAAGCAATAAAAACCTCAGTCTAATCAAGCTATTTAACCCACCGATAAAGATTTGCATAAAGTTGCATCTTATTCAAAAGCTACATGCAAAACCAAGGTCCCCAAATTAATGCTGAAAAGCCAATTGGTTTTCCTACTCCATGAGGAGCCTTCAAAATGCAGTCACCTGACTACTATAAGCGAGGTCCCCCTGCTGGTAATTAGGAAAATTACCTTTGGGCAAATGCATGCTGCATGATAGGTGTTAATTTTGCCCTAAACAAAATATCTGAGGTAGGCCAAGTATCTTCTTTCATGCTATATCCCTCCTTTCTCTTGATGTCTGACTCACTTCCACCAACACCAACTATCACCAGCACCCAGAGTTCCCACACAACATCCCATCTACAGTCTGTATCCTAACATCTAATTTTCCTAGGACTCATGAAAACCCTCTTTTGTGTCCCACTTGTTAACACAACTTATCTTTGTGACCTGACAATGGGAAGCAAAGGGCCAGGTGTTTGAAAGTCTCTCAGTGTAATGATTTTAAGTTAAATACAGACTTTTTTTTCTCAGTAAGAGAAAATAAGTAAAAATTTCAGAACTAGCCATGAGAAAGGCACACAGAGCAGAAGAATGTGGTTGAAGATATGAAAATATAAAGATTTCTCATCATGCCAGGCTATCCTGGCAAGTATCGTGCCCATAATACTCCTTAATGAGGCTTTCCCACTCCCACACCCCTCCTTCACCTGCTCCCCCTCAGGGAGAATTGGTGGTTGCCCTGATCTCCTGATCCAAGAAAACAATGCATGGTGAGTGGGCCAGATGGCCAGGGCCCAAGAGAAAATATGGCAGCCTTGCTTTTTCAGGAGAGTGCAAAAGAAAGCTTGCAAGCCCCAAGTCAGGCTTTCACTACAAACAATAGAGGAGAGGTCAAAGGTTATTTCCTACCACAGTCACCAGGGAGACAGTCGCCAAAATACTTATCAAGCTCTGCTTTTGTGCCCAGAGCTCAAGCGGATAGAACACAGAGAAGTGCAGGTGTTGACAAGCAGCAGGAACCAAATTACAAGGTGCGTATAAAGGGAGCGCTGGTGCAGGAAGCCAGCACTGGGGTTTGGCTTCTGAAGGAGATAAAAATGGTCTTAATGCCCCTATTGAAAGTGCTAAGCTTTATTTAACTATTATTCCTAAGACAACTCCCAACACTTTGAGTGCGACAGCCATTCCTGTTCCACCAAGATGGAAAATATTCTTTTTTTTTAAATCAGAACTTTCTTTTTTTTTTTTTAAGATTTTATTTATCTGACCGAGAGAGAGACACAGCGAGAGAGGGAACACAAGCAGCGGGAGTGGGAGAGGGAGAAGCAGGCTTCCCGCTAAGTAGGGAGCCCGATGTGGGGCTCGATCCCAGGACCCTGGGATCATGACCTGAGCCGAAGGCAGACGCTTAACCGACTGAGCCACCCAGGCGCCCCAGAACTTTATTTTCAAAGCAGTTTTAGGTTCACAGCAAAATTGGGAGGAAGGTACAGATTTCCCATATACTCCCTGCCCCCACACGCGCATAGGGCCCCCCATTACAACATTCCCCACCAGAATGATGCATTTGTTACATTGGTGAACCAACACTGACATGTCACCATCACCCAAAGTCCCTAGTTTACATTAGGGTTCACTCTTGATGTTGTACCTTCTATGTGTTTGGACAAATGTATAATGACATGTGTTCATCATTATAATATCATACAGTTTTTTTTCACTGTCCTAAAAAATATTCTTTTTTTTAAAGATTATTTACTTATTTGAGAGAGTGCGTGTGCCTGCCTGCGAGCAGGGGGAGGGACAGAGGGGGAAGGGCAGAGGGACAGGCAGAGAGAATCTCAAGCAGACTCCCCACTGAGCACAGAGCCTGGCCCAGCCTGGGGCTCTATTTCAGGACCCTGAGATCATGACCAGAGCTGAAACCAAGAGTCAGACACTCAACCCACTGAGCCACCCAAGCACCCTAAAAATAATCTTTACATAAGGAATTTATTTTTAAAATAAGACTGTTTTTTTTAACATGGAAATATACCAAAATTTGATTCCTTAGTTCCAAACTAAAAATTTTCTTCACTTCCTTTTCCCACTCTTGTCTAAGAGTTACATATGTCAGACAAATGTACCAATGTTTCACTGATTCAGCAGGCTTTCTTGATATAACATATTTAAAACTTCTTTGAAAGGTCAAAAAGGGTCAAATGATCATAGTATTTTCATCATTCTTTGTTCCCTTTCCCATCCTGCCCTCCCCCACCCTCCATATCTCTTTTATGTTAGGGACATGATTTCTAGCATACCATTTTATATGCTCTGTTGTGACAGGTATTACAATTTTGACTGAAAAGCTCAATGTGGAACCAGTAAATGGACATAGAGATGGTTTAGGTAGCAGTTTCTACCACTCCTCTCCAGGCCCTCATTCAACTCTAATAATGGAATTGTCTCTTTTTGTCTGTCCCCCACCAGGGGACTGTGAACTGTCCCTACAGATGGAACAGATGGGATTATTTTGCTCACTATTGTATTCCTAGCACTTAGAACAATGCCAGACCACAGTGGGAACTCATTAATGGAACAAGCTGCTATTTGAGATTTTTTTTTTAAGTACAGTTGACACACACTGTTACATTAGTTTCAGGTGTACAACATAGTGATTGGACAAGTTTATAGTTACGCTGTGGTCACCACAAGTGTAGCTACCCTCTGTCCTGATACATTATTACAATATCATTGGCTATATTCTTTATGCTGTGCCTCTTATTCCTATGACTTTTTCATTCCACACCTGGAAGCCTGTCTCTCCCACTCCCCTTCACCCATTTTGCTGTTTGTGAGATTTATGCACACACATTCTGAACTGCTTGACTGTCTCTCTTTGACCAGCATTCTAAATTGCCTGATCAGGACCTGGGGTGGGGGCGGGAGGGGGTGGTGGTGCCATCATTGGCCGTGAGCTACTCACCCTCTAGTAAGGCGCACACTCAGCTACTGCTTTCCCAGAGATGATGGAAGTTTCTATTAGCAGCCTTCAGTGAATCAAAGACATGAAACATTTTTATGCCAGAAGAAATCTTGATCTACATTGACTACAAAAAGCAGCAGCTGAATATAGGACTTACTTCTTTTCATTGGTTTGGTGGAACTCTTACTACAGCAGGTTTCATTGTGTTCCCTGGAGGAAGAAACAGGGATATAGTCATCTGTCTTTCTCAGGCACATGATGTTTACCATCTTGCTATTGGCTTTAAGGGTAGTTTATTCACATGAATTTCCTAAGTGAACTATTTTCTAGATATGTTCTCAGAAAACATTGCCCTGTGTCTGACCACAGGGCAACTAATCAAGTCGAAAGAAAAAATAAAAGAAGGCAAAGAGGAATGTTTTCTCTGGGTGTCCACACAGTACACTTGGCTACATCCATCAGTGGGAATTTATACCTTCCTTCCTATCCAGTATCAGCTATGAACAGCTATTCCCAGAGTAGATCCTGCACTTAAATCAATATAACTTGTTCATTAACATTAAGTTATTATGAGAAATTTCATCCAAGTCTCTTTTAAAACTCACATTTCACATTTCAAAGTCAGCGGTGCAGATCTTAAGTATAGTGAAACCTCAAAGCTGGTGAGTATCATGTTCTATGTGCCATAGATGTCACAGAGGTATAACTATAGTCTCATTTACTTTGTAATAAATTCTCATTTACTAATTCTTGCTAAGCTTGGTCCAAATTGTGGGGCATTTTAGTCACTGGGATCCTTGTACTAAAAAAGCAATGCTGCTGACAAAAACTAATTGCATCAACTTGGAATTTTGTAAGACTATACCATATCCAGACTATTCCATATGGCAGATTAGATGCTCTAAATGACTCTCCCAATAAGACAAATAAAGGATAAAAATATATTTTTAAACTCCTGAGATAGCAGGAAAGTAAGAAATATTCAGACCTTCAAACCAAGTAAAAGCGCTCTCTGACAGGAAGTAATGGCCTGACTCTCACCGGGATTTCCAGCCTGAACTCTTTTGGCCACTGTGATCCAAAACAACAAAAAAACCCAAAAAACAAAAAACCAAACTTAAGCTAAAATTTTTATTCAAAGTAGTGATATTGTCCCTTAGATGTCTGGCAAAAGAAAATAAAATCCAGGCCTCAAAATTTTGCATAGATAAAGATCCAAGAAAAAGGAATAACTGTGTTGAATCACATAAAACACAAGGAAGCAAGGCACCATGAATAAGAGATGGCAGGAACAACAGGGAGAAAATGACCCCAAAAGCCTTCTGATGTTGTGGCTATTAGACACAGAATATGAAATAATTATATCTAATATGTTTAAAGGCATAAAAGTGAAAATTCAAAATATGAATAAAGAACATGAGACACTTGGGGCGCCTGGGTGGCTCAGTCATTAGGCGTCTGCCTTCAGCTCGGGTCATGGTCCCAGGGTCCTGGGATCAAGCCCCCCATCAGGCTCCCTTCTCGGCGGGAAGCCTGCTTCTCCCTCTCCTGCTCCCCCTGCTTGTATTCCCGTTCACTGTGTCTCTTTCTGTCAAATAAATAAAATCTTTAAAAAAAAAAAAAAAGAACATGAGACACTAGAGATGAATGAAAAGATTTTTAAAGGAAGCAAATAGATTTCTAGAAGTCAAAAACTGAATCGATAAAAATAGTAGACAATGGAGTAATCGCAGGTTAGCTATACCTGAAGAGACAAGTTGAGAACTGGAAGAAAGATACAAAGAAATTCAGAATATATCCCAGAGATGCAAAATTTGAAATAGAAATGTAAAAGACATAGGATGTAAAGAGGTCTAATTATCATTCCAGGATGAGGTAATAGAATGGGTAAGAAATAGTATTTGTCAGGATAATAACTGGGAATTTCCCAGAATTGTGAAAAGACACAGATCTAGGAAAACCAAACTGAACCAAACTAAAAAGGCAAAATGAGAGAGAGAGAGAGAAAAAAAAAAATCTATACCTAGTTAGAGCTGCAAACACTGAAAGATAAAAAGACTCCAAAAGCATGCAGAGAGAAGGCACATTACCCACAATGGAATAATAATCATGCACGATGAGGGCGCCTGGGTGGCTCAGTTGGTTAAGCGACTGCCTTCGGCTCAGGTCATGATCCTGGAGTCCCGGGATCGAGTCCCGCATCAGGCTCCCTGCTTGGCGGGGAGCCTGCTTCTCCCTCTGACCCTCCCCCCTCTCATGTGCTCTCTCATTCTCTCTCTCTCAAATAAATAAATAAAATCTTAAAAAAATAATAATAATCATGCACGATGAAATAACAATTAGGCCAACACCTGACTTTTCAACTGCAATGATGGAAGCCAGAAGATAGTGGAATAATATCTTCAATCAGCTGTGTTAAAACAGCTGTCAATCTGTTAGTCTGTACCCTTTAAGAACTAGGGGGGAACGGGAATAATTTCCAGACAATAAAAACTGAAAGTTCTTACTACCAAAAGAACTCATAGAACGAATTTCCAAGGAAGGACTTAAGGCAAAGAAATGGTGCTCAAGGATGTCAGGAATATGTGGGCAAAAGAAAGCAACAGTGATTGTTTGTAATAATTGATTACATTGGTTGTAATTTAATAAAAATTGATGGGAATAAGTGGTCTCAAACACTATTATAGTAACTTATAAATCGTGACGGGTGGTCGGAATTAAAACATTCTAAGGGCTTAGCATTTTTTTTAAGTAAAAATATTGAACTCTATAACTCTGTAAACTCTGACAACTATTCACATGAGAATAGCAAAAATTTTAAAAAAGAATATATTACTTTTAAGTTAGTACATATAAAAAATCAGATAGGAAGAGGAAAGGAAAACTTGATGAATTTGAAAGGCAGCAATAGTGAGGAGGGGAGACAAAAAAGGTAGCACAAAGAGAAAAGACATAATAAGATTTATTTCTATAATCCTAATATTTCAATAATCATAATAAAAGAAAATGTGTTAAATTTTCCCATAAAAAAAGGCAAATGTCAGACTGGATTTTTAAAAATCCAGGTGTTCAGGGGTGCCTGGCTGATTCGGTCAGTAGAACATGCAACTCTTGATCTCAGGGTCATGAGTTCAAACCCCACATTGGGCGTGGAGCCTACCTTAAAAAAATAAAAGTAAAAATAAAGATCCAGCTGCTTAAAGCTAGTACTCCTAAAACATAAGAACACAGAAAGATTGAAAATCAATAGAAACCAAACTGATAATCAATGAAACAAATCATTCACTGTTTTGTCTCTGAATTTTCTAGTTTTGGAATTAGGCAAAAAAGGAATGACCCCCATTGTCACCGTAAATAAGCAGTTACGAGGCAACATTGCGTGAGGAGTGCTCAGGGAAGAAAACGAAGCAAACTCTAACATATATAAGTTCAAAACTTCATGAATTTTCTAGCCATAGATTTTGTATTGGCATGGTTTTTAGATCTTGCTTATAAAATGTTCTTTTCTTTTGGAAGAGTCCTGTAAAGTCGAGATTTTGAAACTATGGGATCATTCCTCTATTACTTACTTCTTCAATCATCTCATTCACCAAAAGGAATACAGAATCTTAAACTCTGGCAAAGCCTGCCTTACTTAAATTCTAATTGCTACCACTTGTTGCAAGGAATAGAGGAAAACCCCCAAAGTTCCTACATATAGAAATGGATAGTAGCTTTGTAAGTGACTCAATCACATATTCTCAAGCTATCCAATAATCCGGTTTAGGATTTCTTTAAGAGTATTATATTATATTATTCATATTATGAAAGGGAATTTGAAGTGTTCCATCTCTTCAACACTCTCAAGTCACTGAAGTGCTTCCCTCTTTTTTTTTTTAATATTTTATTTATTTATTTGAGAGAGAGAATGAGATAGAGCATGAGAGGGGGGAGGGTTAGAGGGAGAAGCAGACTCCCTGCTGAGCAGGAAGCCCAATGTGGGACTCGATCCCAGGACTCCAGGATCATGACCTGAGCCAAAGGCAGTCGCTTAACCAACTGAGCCACCCAGGCACCCTGAAGTGCTTCCCTCTTGAGAGCCAAGTAAGCAAGAGAAGTTACTTCTGTTAATGCCCTTAAGATTGCCACGGGGGAGAACAATTCAGTCTAGTAACGTTCATGACACCTATAACTACAAAATCAGAAAATGCAAGTGCCAAAAGGGACCAGAGGGAGCTTTGAGTCTGACCCTCCCTCACTTAACAACTGCAAATCTGAGACCCAGAGAAAAATGATTTTCCCAAGGTGTCCCAGCTCGTTAATTGCATACGGGACAAGAATCCAGGTCTAACTCCCTCCAATTCAAAGAACTTCCTATTTATTCTACCACTTTCCCTTTATCATTCTGTGGTTAAAACTTCATTTTTTAAAAATGTTAATTCCAGTTAGTTAACATACAGTGTTATATTAGTTTCCAATGTATAATACAGTGATTCGACACTTGCATACATCACCTGGTGCTCATCACAAATGCGCTCTTTCATCCCCATCACCTATTTCCCCCATCCCCCATTTCCCCCATCCTCCACCCACCTCCTCTCTGGTCACCAGCAATTTGTTCTCTATAGTTCAGAGTCTGTTTCTTGATTTGCCTCTCTCCCTCTCTCTTTCCCTTTGCTCATCTGTTTTGTTTCTTAAATTCCACATATGAGTGAAATCATATGGTATTTGTCTTTCTCTGACTGACACATTCTATAAATTAAAACTTAAAATGCCTAATAAGAAGAATACAAACTGTGCACTGGAGGGAGCTTTCTGTTTTCAGGACTCATCAGAATGAGGGGAGTTCAAAGATAGAATCTCAGAACCAGCAGACATGGGGAAAGGGCGGGGGTGGCTAATTTTCCAAAGGCAGCTTCAAACATGTTGCTAGTACTTTATTACATTTTTTCCCTAGTAATCACTTTATTGAAATATTCTTTTTATATTTAGGCAAAATTAAACCCTTCGTTAGTGGCTACGTTTACTCTCCTCATGTGAATGTTGGAGAAATTAAAGAGGGTATAAGATAAATAGCTAAAAAGACTAAAGGATGGGAAGTGTTTCTTTATAGGAGA